TCTTGTATTTCCAAGAAATTGAATTTTTCATGAACATCGCCATATTTTAGGGTACCATACCACCTTAATAGGCCCTTAGCCTGCTTTGGTGCCGGGTTATTACGGTCAGTTTGAGTTTAACCAGAACCCGGGAAAATTCCCTATTTGTGAAATCTTATATAAAGGGCCAGTTTAAACAGGCAATATTTGGTGCAAATTTTGACGCGATTTGGTTTTATTTTGTAGCACAGATGGATCGAATGTACTCTTGTGTTATTTACGATCAAATTAATTTCACCTCTCAAATTGGCATCTTCAAACTCCAGAGCTTCCGCAGCACAAGACAAGGAAACTTCGTCGTTTACAGCGGGGACAGAACCTTTTGGTGCCATGAACGTCACAGGAACAACAGCTCTCCTGTTATCAATTACTGCGCTGTTTGAATGGATTCCTTGTGACTTCAGTGTTAGTGATCACACGACTCCCGTTGCAGTATTCTATTTACAGGGCAACAAAACAACGACTTTAAGCAATTGATCGCAAAGTTTGTTTACAATCAGAATCTGCAAACTCGATTCGAAACCAAACGTCAAGAAAGAGCAATCTTTTCAGCCTTGACAGCCGGCAGCTCAAACTATTAATCGAAATGTAACCTTGCTAATGCCGTTTCGTTCCGTTGTTGTCGGCAGTTTCAATCAGAATTCAATTCTTTATTTGCACTATAAAGGGTATTATATACATTTTAAAAGAAGAAATATTAAGAAATATTAAGCCGTAAAGAAACGATCGTTTCGTTTTGTTGTTGAGGGCATTCAGTCAGGTTTTAGTACGTACCGCATTCAATACAGAAGAATCTTAGCATCAAATTTGAGATCAACTTTTCAAAACAAACTCTCAAAACTTACCCAATGTGCGTTGAAAACGACGAAAACCTTTTTACGTTTGTTTCTTTGTGTTAATGCGTGTTGTACTCATTCACGACAGCTCGTACGGGTGGTGTATTCGTTAAAAATGCACATTATGACCGAACTATTCGAGCCTATTGCAAACGCAGACGTTTCACGCCGGGAAATTCCCTTGCTAATGACGTAATGGTTTTTTTTGATAGTCTTTATAGTATGATTCAAAAACGTCGCAATAATATGCTACTGTGAAAGAGAAAAGTTGTCTATGCCTTCTAAAATTGTTATGAAGGCAGTAAATATGGTCTCTTACAACAAAACCCGGCTGACAAAGATAGCATATGTCTACTTCGTGAAGCGTGACGCGTGACTTTTCTTTATCCTTCTCAGAACGCTTGGTGACGGAAGGGACAAATCCCTAATTTGGGACATTTCCCCTTTCGATTTCTGCAACAAGTAGCTATAGCTTTGTATTT